TTCCACAAGAGAGGTTCTAGGACAGACCCCTGCGGAACACCGCACGACATGGCCCTGCGTCTCAAGACGCCATCTCGGTCCTCGTACATGACGGTTCGCTCCTCAAGATAGTCTGCCACCAGCCGCCTCAGGTACTCCGGCACTCCGTGGTAGCGGAGCGCTTCCCTGATGCAGCTGAATGGCAGACTATTGAAGGCGTTGGCGATGTCCAAGGACACCGCCAACACCACTCCGCCGCAGCTCACGGCCTCCTCGGTCACGGCCCTAAGGCGCATCACGGCATCGATCGTCGAACGCCCCTCTCGGAAACCGAATTGGGCGTCCGACAGATCGGGGCCAACCTCGCAAAGGTGCCGGACGATGCGGGCAGAGAGCACCCTCTCAAAAAGTTTACCCGCCCCGTCCAGCAACACGATAGGCCTATAGGCCGCGACCGAATCGGCAGGCCGTCCCGGCTTCTGCAGCAGGACCAGCTTCCCGCATTTCCAGCGCTCAGGGAAGCGTCCGGACGCCAGGCTAGCGTCCAACACCCCCCTGAGGTGGTCCGACATGTAGTCGAGGGCTCGGGCCATCACTCGGGCTGGAACCCCGTCCGGCCCGGGGGCGGTGTTCTTGGATCGAATCCGTAGAACAGCCGCCCCCAACTCCGATTCCCTGACGGGCGGCACATCACCCTCGCTGCCTACGTCGTCTCCGTCGTGTATAACACTGAGCATTAAACTAGATGAAATCCAGAGTTTTTTTTCTGAAACCTGCATTCAATTTTATCTGAAGAATATTGGATGTGTGTAACACCTATTTATTATAAATCTATCTTTTATCTTTGAGAGAAAGAGAAACAGACAGTGCTATGGATTCATCACACATAATTTTTTCTTGAGTGCTCTTAACCAAGTAATTAAATATTTTGATATATATAAAGCCCGTATATCTAGTCGCTAACAATGTTATCGAAATACGGTCTTCTGAAAAGTTTAGGTACCCAATTTAGGTTTCTATTCCAGTAAGAAAATTTTGAAGAAGATCTTTATATATTTTTTTGTTACATATTAAAAGACCATTCGGCCGATCAAACAATGTTAGTTTAGTTAGTTAGTTAGTTCCGCTATTATCAGCTAGACAGCGCTGATAATAACGCCGTACCTACCGATCTTAAGGAGCATGTTAAAACCCAAAATTAAAAACAATTTTAATGAATTTATTAATATATTTAGGCCTATAACACATATGTATACATACATAGACAAAATACATAAAGACATCCAAATAGGTTTCTTTACAATGTTTTTCTAATAAATACATTATGACAAACATGAATAAAAGTGTTTAAGTACTCGTAGACTTGTAATATAGGCGCAGGCAATTTTTGTAATGACCACCCTGTTTTTATTTTAGCGGCAACATTGCTTGCTCGTGATAAAAAAAAAGGACTGAGTAATGTGATTTACGTGCGAAAATTAATAATTAAAAAAAAAACTATTTTCTTTTATCCTTTATTACAATTGAAAGTATATAAAAGTTTTTGCAAAGGCGAACTGGAAAAGCTGTGTAAGTGGTTTACTTCCACCAAAACTTGGTACTGATACTATTCTCTCATGTATGTAGAATTATTTCCTAAAAGGCCTTTTAGGAAATTTGCAGGCGTGCATAGGCGACGGTAGTCACTTTGAATAAGTCTGCCTCCTTCTTACTTAAAAAAAAATTGATAATTATTAAGATCAAGATTTTCTACGAGTACCTACTTAGATAGATAATATGTAAGACAAGTTCACAATAAGTATATATACAACGACTTGGAGAAAACATACAATGCGTTATGCAGACGACGAAACAAATGATTTTTCCGACCAAAATTTCCATATTTTTCCGACAACAATTTCCATATTTATTTATTGAGTTTTTTTAATCATTTATAAAGCACCCAAGTAATAAATATTATTTTAATCTGTCAAACGTTGTTCTACGTTTGACAGATTAAAAGAGTAATGTAGTTTGTCAAATTGAAATGAAATAAAACTGAACTGTACCTGTCTCTTTTTAGCATGTTATTGTTGCCATATGTAAGAGGAGTTCGAGGACTTTATATTATATTATGGGGGAATTGTTCCGACGTCTAAACGACAAGAAGTTTGACATTTAGCACCATGCATTAATACTAAATATAATTTATTAAGTATAAATTAATACAAAATAACTAAATTCTATTTGTTTTTAACTGTTGTACATTCAAAAGATAAAAGTGTATAGAATATTCTGGACGGCTAGGCCGCGCTCTTGAGAAGTTTATGATTAAGTTTAAAAAAAAGTTTAGGAGATTACACTAGGAAAAAGTACTAACACCAATGAAGTTGTCTTTATATCATTAGTTTTATATTACTGTAATAGTGTATTGTGATCACAAAGATACTTAACTAATTTATTGTGTTGTTACATTTTCTCATTATGTCAGTGAACTGTATTGTTCTTTTTATGAGAAATAAATGTCTTTAAACCAAAATATCTGACCTAATTCATAATTGTCATATGGTAATACATTTTTTTATGATTAGGGGAGCAAATGAGTGAAAGACTGTGATTTGGTGGTGGATCATCGCCGCGTAGATATTTGCTTCTTAAAAACTACAACAGTCAAATACAATAGAATCAGCGATGTTTTACTAATAGAGAGTTCATTTCAGGCAAGTTTATTGATATATCATCTTACTCTTATAACGCGCTAAATATTATAAAGATATTAACACAAATTCTTATGTATTTTGTACGGCAAGACGAAAGTAAGTTTATTCCTATTAGTTACAAATATATTTAAAGAGTTACGACATATATTTTGCTAACAATTTGGGGCAAGATGGTGAAGCGACGTAAACTATTTGTAACGTACTATAATAGTCCATTCGCATTAAGAAAATAGTGACCCATCGATCAAGCCCCGCCCCCTGACCAATCAAGTTCCAAGAAATTATCGTTTCGTACGAAAGCCTTGTAGGACTATAATTAATAACAAAAATGTTATCGTTTACACTTCAACCGGTAACGCCGCTTTACCGTCCTGCCCCGCCCGCTATCAGCCGCAACCTTAATTAAGGTTGTGGCTGACAGCAACTGTGCACTTTTTAAAGTCTGTGCAGAAATAAATAGCTACTTTAGTTTTTGAGTTATTTCTGTTAATTTATTGATAAGGAAATTTGTATTAACGAGATGTTGATTATAAAACTATTTCTTTGTGTATTTTATGCAGATTTGTTGACCTTTATCGATCATTTGAACACAATGCTTGTCCAACTCCTGGGATAATGCAAATATGGGAGATATCGCCATATCGGGAATATTAACACTTTCAAAAATAACTCAGTAAGTAAGCTGTTCACTTTCGCTAACCAGATGATAACAGACAATATACTTATATGACTGGCATCATAAAAATCGATAAACATATCACACAAATTTACTTAACAAAACATTAGATATTTGTGAACACATCTGATTTGTGAACACATTGAAACGAATCGCAGTACAATAACTTAAAATATACTTAAATAACTAATAACTTAAATTCCTCGATGGTTCTTAATGTCGATAACGATTCGACCGCTACCACACATGTTTTTATTAAATTATATCTACACAAACATTTTATAAAAAAGGAAAAAAAAATATAATAGATATTAAACTGAAAATTAGATATTATTTTTATATTATGAAACAGTGAGTCACAGATATGTTCTAACTATTACTATTCATCCCGTTGGTGTCGTAAGAACAAACAAAGGGAGCAAACTACGCAGGCCTACAGCACTCCAAACAGGAGGAAAACTTGACACAAACCCTATACCAACCCGTCTGGCCAGCGTGGTTAAAACCTCCTTTCTAAGGAGAGGCCTATGTCCGACAGTGGACTGTTGAAGGCCGTTGATGATGATGACGAGATATTACTTACAATCCCCAAGTACCATTCCTTCTCTTAACTTTACGATACTCGAAATTTTCCCATTTACCTTATAAATGGAAGTACCATAAAATAATAATTTCATTTGCATACATCTCACACACGGACGTCTGATCCCAAACTAGGCAGAGCCTGTACTATGGTAACCAGACTACTGATAAACATACTTATATATTTCGGTATACACACATATTATAGATAAATTACACCCAGACACAGAACAAATGACCAAGTTTATCACACAATTATTTGTCTTTGTCCTGGGCGGGAATCGAACCGTCGATCTCTGTCTTAGCAGTCAGCGTCACTAACCATTAGACAAACGGGCCAGTATAGTTTTTGACTGTGAATTGATTAAATTCGTAAACTTAAATTAAAATTAAATTCGTAAATTATGATATTTTTTATTACGATTACGCAAAATGATTCATAAAGTTCTAACCCTCAAACGTCACATGTCAAAAGAGCTCAAACAGTGACAGCTTAACTGACTGCTTTCATTTATTGAACTGTGAGTTTAATATATACTATATTTAGTTTTCCAAATAACACAATATACATTAAACAGTCTCTCTTATTACTAACATGAAATTGACGTTTAGGAAAATTTAAAGTCTTTGTGCAAATATTATAATGACAAGAAACATTTAACGCCTAAAAATTGATATTAAATAGAAAAAATTAAGGTTGTACCTCACACATTCCGACAATGAATAGATAGTGGATTCTATTACAGCACTGGTCACTTTCGATATAACGTTATATGTCTTGACCAGCTTGGTAGAAGTTGTCAAATTTCATCAAATATCTGGTTCTTAAGAACAGCGCCACCTACTGGCTTCCCAAGTGGGGCAATAGTCCAAGCTGTGAAAGGATTGTAAGAATATGTAAAGTTTACCTTTGTTTAATACATGTTTGTGAATAATCCTAAAAATACAAAATATATTTCCGATTAAAAACTTTTTATTTTTATTTTTTTAGAAAGTTACAAAGTTTTACATTTCCTAAACGCCGGTCACAGATATGTCATGTAAATAGTTTTAAATAAAACAATTTAGTAACTTATATGTACTACGTCTCCACCCACAGACAGCAGACATTGACCCTGTGAAAAAAAATTAGCATTATGAAACATTGAAAAGTGAATCAACGTTTACCGACTTATGTCTGTAGGATAAGGTTGCTTTGCCCAACATTTCACACCACTTTTCACATTATAAGTTACTAAGAAGACTTGTCGGAACATGAAAAAACTTATAAAAAAAATTTAATGAACACCAATTCGACTAGATATGTATATCTAGTCGAATTGGTGTTCTTTAATAATTTTTTATAAGTAAGTTAGTGTAAGGTAGTATCACGCCATTAATAATAATTTAATTTTCACCACATTCACACAACGCCATTTCGTCCCAAACTAAGCAGAGCGTGTATTTTGGGTACTAGACAAATGTTGCTGGCTGGTCTTATCTTATTATCAGATACCTATAAGTATCTACATAAAAAGTTGAAAAATATTATGAATTCGGGATTTTTTTGGTCGTTTTTTTTTCATTCTAATATAAATACTAACACAAGTAATATCTACTCAGACTGAGTAAAGAGTAAATAGGTATGCACTCGTAACGTCGCCGCATCATTTGTTGTTCAGTAGGTAAGGTACCTAATTACTAATTTAAACTGTTTCTATAAATACGAACATATCATATATAGAAACACAAAAATTTAATCGAACACTAAATGTGCATGCAATGTTTGAAAGGTTTCTTTCCCCTCACACAAACCACTGAGGCATTCGGCCTTCTTTGGTCCGACCATAAATAGCGGACACTGATGCCAGGCGTTCTTTACTCGACTCCTAATCCAGGTCCAAAAGACATCACAGATTCTGTTTATAGCCATATTTTAATGGTGTAGTTGTTGATGATGATTTCATACATACCTGGTTTTTGTGCGCGTTATCTTGCAACATGAGCTGTGTGATGTAGAAGGACGTCAGGACATTACCGCCCAACGCTGCGGTGTACGCACGAGCTATCGCCAGCACCTGACACCAAACATTACTTCACTATAGTATCCGTAAGCCAATTTGTATTCTTTACGTTTTTTAACCAATCCACACTCAGAACAACAATTTGTGGAAAACAGAAAAGATTTCCATGTGGGAACCCATAACACTCAGCGCTGTAGGAAACAGCGATGTGATCGCTTAAACCGGCTCCGTCCACTAGGATCCCCTGGAGGATTTATCTGGATTTATTTATTATATTTCCACACCAATACCCTAGGGCATCTGTTTGGAATTTGGATCCATTTTGATCCCCAAGGGGATTTATTTGGAAGTTTTTGTAAACACAACGTCCACTAGGATCACCTGCTGAAATCTCCTGGGGGATTTATTTGGATTTTTTGTCCGCAGCTATCTCATTATTTAGTGTGATACCTTGGTGGATCCCCCGGGAAATAACCCAGGGGGTTAAGGCAGGAGATCCTAGTGGACGGAGCCTTTAAACCACTGCAATATTACCAATTGATGATGATAATAAGTTGACGGTAGTTTTCTTACAGAAAAAAAAAACTTATTTACATAAGAATTAATTGATAAAATCTCCATTAAAGTCAGAGAAGATGCGGGCAAAAGCTGATTCGATATTTGTACTCACTTCACAAGTAAAAGTATGTAGGAAGCCGCTGAGACCGCCCAGCTCTCTGACAGCGGTTGTTTCTCTTACAAACAGCAGTCGCAGCGCACACAACCTTCGGGAGAAGCGCCCTCCACTCACATGACTCAGAGTAGTTAAAGACACTGTTGTTGGTAGCTGAGTTACAAAAAAATTGTAAAATAAATATTATATCGATACGAAAAAATAATAATCTAACTTTAAAAGAAATTTTGATTTAGTTTTTATTTTGTTTGAAAGTGTTCCTCGTTTTAATTAAGAAAATAAATTCAGCTGTTTTGAAGATCATCAGATGTTTTCTAATTGTTAAGAGATTATAGAGTTGTAGATATTTTTTATTTATTCAATTTGTACATATTATTAGGTAGCCAGTCATTTATTCATTTCAAGCAAGTAATTCATTTATCATTGCATTACCAACCAATGGAGACTTTTTTGGAGGAATGGAAGTTGGAAAGAATAGAGTTTTGTTTAGAACCATAAGAAGAAGATTAACTCAAAAGAACAAACTTTTCTCAATTCTTTTGACTCTTTATTTATTCCCCGAACTACATATATCCCTGCAGTCCATATCTTGGTGATCAACATTTATAAGTATTCGTACCTGACCATTGATACAGCTCTTTTCTTCTACCACCTCTGATTGTGGCGGGGCCTTCACCAGCTGCTCTTCATCTAAAGCGAATATGTCATCATCAGTTTCACCCACAACTTGGCCGCTGTGGTGACTATGGTTGGTAGTGGTGTGATTATTGTGGTTTTCTACACCATTACTGTCTACAGAAGTTGGATCTTGAAGGGGGATTGCTGCTCCGGAAACTATCAGCTGAATTTCGTCCTGGAAATAAATATTTTTTAGAGAATTTGTTTTAGGTGCTTTTATAGGTCCGCCGTCGTAAGGCTTCTGAGTCCTACGAGGAACAAGTAATGTTATAATAGTGATTTAATAATATTTTATGTTATTTTAGGAAAAGGGTATATTGTAGTTGACTATGTTGTCCTGCTGGCGGTAGTGTCGTGTTCCGGGTTGTTGATCCTGACTATATCGGTTAGGCTACACGATGACTGGGGCCTGTATGACGTCTGTATGGACAGGCCGACTCAAAACTATGGTCCTTTCTTCAAGAGGCCAACCCAAACCCTATACTGCACTCACATAGTTCTTTTTAACATTGTACACGGACTTAAAAGAAAAAAGACACCTCTGTGGTTTGTTTTGGCGTTTCTTTCCAGAGCAAGTCTTAGGAAATGCCGGCGCTTTCTAGCTGTAAACTCCAACTTGTAAAAATATTTGAAAAGATTTACCAGCAGAAATAAATATAATTTCATTTCATGTACACAAATTAATATTCACAAAAAATACTACAATACATTTTTGGCAACATTACAATAGACCCTGGCCCGGTAGGTCCAATTTCATTTAATTCTCTGAATAAGCGGAAGTCACGTTATCAAGCTATCTATCATACATCAAAGATATTTTTGCTGCAATGTTCATATAATTGGGTTTCAATATGTTTGTAGTATGAAAGTACTGCCAAAACCATAAATTCTTAATTTGCTTTAATTGAATGACAAAAATAAAATAGTCTAGTATCAGCAGCATTTAAAGTTAAATCTCCGTTGAAATCTATTGCATGTACCTATATAATTTAAGTACAAGAAGAACCAGACGGGGTCCCAGTAAAATTCCCTGGGGCACACCACGAGATTTACATTTAGGGTCACTGGTCACTTTATGACACTCAAGAGTATAAATCAGAAAGTTTGGTTTAAAAGATAAGATTTGAACATTTTTTAAACATCATTTCAACAATTTATTTGGTCCCTTTTTAGCAATTCATTCACTGTATCAAAGGCCTTTTTAGGTTAGATAAATATTTAAATAGCAATTCTTTTATAACCGTTTTTGGTTTCAATTTAATTTTTGTGACTAAACCAAATATGGTTTAAGAAAAGATGTGACATGAGAAAACAAATGATGTGATGTGACGTGTAAAATATTGTTGAAAGATTTATTTATTATTTTGAAAGGCTGCAGGCGGCGCAGCTTGTAGGCGACCTGCCGCACCTACGTGTACATGTACGTGTACGGGACACACACCTCGGGCAGCTCCAGCTGGAAGGTGGGCGCGACGAGCGCGCAGGGCTGCAGGCGGCGCAGCTTGTAGGCGACCTGCCGCACCTACGTGTACATGTACGTGTACGGGACACACACCTCGGGCAGCTCCAGCTGGAAGGTGGGCGCGACGAGCGCGCAGGGCTGCAGGCGGCGCAGCTTGTAGGCGACCTGCCGCACCTACGTGTACATGTACGTGTACGGGACACACACCTCGGGCAGCTCCAGCTGGAAGGTGGGCGCGACGAGCGCGCAGGGCTGCAGGCGGCGCAGCTTGTAGGCGACCTGCCGCACCTACGTGTACATGTACGTGTACGGGACACACACCTCGGGCAGCTCCAGCTGGAAGGTGGGCGCGACGAGCGCGCAGGGCTGCAGGCGGCGCAGCTTGTAGGCGACCTGCCGCACCTACGTGTACATGTACGTGTACGGGACACACACCTCGGGCAGCTCCAGCTGGAAGGTGGGCGCGACGAGCGCGCAGGGCTGCAGGCGGCGCAGCTTGTAGGCGACCTGCCGCACCTACGTGTACATGTACGTGTACGGGACACACACCTCGGGCAGCTCCAGCTGGAAGGTGGGCGCGACGAGCGCGCAGGGCTGCAGGCGGCGCAGCTTGTAGGCGACCTGCCGCACCTACGTGTACATGTACGTGTACGGGACACACACCTCGGGCAGCTCCAGCTGGAAGGTGGGCGCGACGAGCGCGCAGGGCTGCAGGCGGCGCAGCTTGTAGGCGACCTGCCGCACCTACGTGTACATGTACGTGTACGGGACACACACCTCGGGCAGCTCCAGCTGGAAGGTGGGCGCGACGAGCGCGCAGGGCTGCAGGCGGCGCAGCTTGTAGGCGACCTGCCGCACCTACGTGTACATGTACGTGTACGGGACACACACCTCGGGCAGCTCCAGCTGGAAGGTGGGCGCGACGAGCGCGCAGGGCTGCAGGCGGCGCAGCTTGTAGGCGACCTGCCGCACCTACGTGTACATGTACGTGTACGGGACACACACCTCGGGCAGCTCCAGCTGGAAGGTGGGCGCGACGAGCGCGCAGGGCTGCAGGCGGCGCAGCTTGTAGGCGACCTGCCGCACCTACGTGTACATGTACGTGTACGGGACACACACCTCGGGCAGCTCCAGCTGGAAGGTGGGCGCGACGAGCGCGCAGGGCTGCAGGCGGCGCAGCTTGTAGGCGACCTGCCGCACCTACGTGTACATGTACGTGTACGGGACACACACCTCGGGCAGCTCCAGCTGGAAGGTGGGCGCGACGAGCGCGCAGGGCTGCAGGCGGCGCAGCTTGTAGGCGACCTGCCGCACCTACGTGTACATGTACGTGTACGGGACACACACCTCGGGCAGCTCCAGCTGGAAGGTGGGCGCGACGAGCGCGCAGGGCTGCAGGCGGCGCAGCTTGTAGGCGACCTGCCGCACCTACGTGTACATGTACGTGTACGGGACACACACCTCGGGCAGCTCCAGCTGGAAGGTGGGCGCGACGAGCGCGCAGGGCTGCAGGCGGCGCAGCTTGTAGGCGACCTGCCGCACCTACGTGTACATGTACGTGTACGGGACACACACCTCGGGCAGCTCCAGCTGGAAGGTGGGCGCGACGAGCGCGCAGGGCTGCAGGCGGCGCAGCTTGTAGGCGACCTGCCGCACCTACGTGTACATGTACGTGTACGGGACACACACCTCGGGCAGCTCCAGCTGGAAGGTGGGCGCGACGAGCGCGCAGGGCTGCAGGCGGCGCAGCTTGTAGGCGACCTGCCGCACCTACGTGTACATGTACGTGTACGGGACACACACCTCGGGCAGCTCCAGCTGGAAGGTGGGCGCGACGAGCGCGCAGGGCTGCAGGCGGCGCAGCTTGTAGGCGACCTGCCGCACCTACGTGTACATGTACGTGTACGGGACACACACCTCGGGCAGCTCCAGCTGGAAGGTGGGCGCGACGAGCGCGCAGGGCTGCAGGCGGCGCAGCTTGTAGGCGACCTGCCGCACCTACGTGTACATGTACGTGTACGGGACACACACCTCGGGCAGCTCCAGCTGGAAGGTGGGCGCGACGAGCGCGCAGGGCTGCAGGCGGCGCAGCTTGTAGGCGACCTGCCGCACCTACGTGTACATGTACGTGTACGGGGACAACACACCTCGGGCAGCTCCAGCTGGAAGGTGGGCGCGACGAGCGCGCAGGGCTGCAGGCGGCGCAGCTTGTAGGCGACCTGCCGCACCTACGTGTACATGTACGGTACGGGACACACACCTCGGGCAGCTCCAGCTGGAAGGTGGGCGCGACGAGCGCGCAGGGCTGCAGGCGGCGCAGCTTGTAGGCGACCTGCCGCACCTACGTGTACATGTACGTGTACGGGACACACACCTCGGGCAGCTCCAGCTGGAAGGTGGGCGCGACGAGCGCGCAGGGCTGCAGGCGGCGCAGCTTGTAGGCGACCTGCCGCACCTACGTGTACATGTACGTGTACGGGACACACACCTCGGGCAGCTCCAGCTGGAAGGTGGGCGCGACGAGCGCGCAGGGCTGCAGGCGGCGCAGCTTGTAGGCGACCTGCCGCACCTACGTGTACATGTACGTGTACGGGACACACACCTCGGGCAGCTCCAGCTGGAAGGTGGGCGCGACGAGCGCGCAGGGCTGCAGGCGGCGCAGCTTTGTAGGCGACCTGCCGCACCTACGTGTACATGTACGTGTACGGGACACACACCTCGGGCAGCTCCAGCTGGAAGGTGGGCGCGACGAGCGCGCAGGGCTGCAGGCGGCGCAGCTTGTAGGCGACCTGCCGCACCTACGTGTACATGTACGTGTACGGGACACACACCTCGGGCAGCTCCAGCTGGAAGGTGGGCGCGACGAGCGCGCAGGGCTGCAGGCGGCGCAGCTTGTAGGCGACCTGCCGCACCTACGTGTACATGTACGTGTACGGGACACACACCTCGGGCAGCTCCAGCTGGAAGGTGGGCGCGACGAGCGCGCAGGGCTGCAGGCGGCGCAGCTTGTAGGCGACCTGCCGCACCTACGTGTACATGTACGTGTACGGGACACACACCTCGGGCAGCTCCAGCTGGAAGGTGGGCGCGACGAGCGCGCAGGGCTGCAGGCGGCGCAGCTTGTAGGCGACCTGCCGCACCTACGTGTACATGTACGTGTACGGGACACACACCTCGGGCAGCTCCAGCTGGAAGGTGGGCGCGACGAGCGCGCAGGGCTGCAGGCGGCGCAGCTTGTAGGCGACCTGCCGCACCTACGTGTACATGTACGTGTACGGGACACACACCTCGGGCAGCTCCAGCTGGAAGGTGGGCGCGACGAGCGCGCAGGGCTGCAGGCGGCGCAGCTTGTAGGCGACCTGCCGCACCTACGTGTACATGTACGTGTACGGGACACACACCTCGGGCAGCTCCAGCTGGAAGGTGGGCGCGACGAGCGCGCAGGGCTGCAGGCGGCGCAGCTTGTAGGCGACCTGCCGCACCTACGTGTACATGTACGTGTACGGGACACACACCTCGGGCAGCTCCAGCTGGAAGGTGGGCGCGACGAGCGCGCAGGGCTGCAGGCGGCGCAGCTTGTAGGCGACCTGCCGCACCTACGTGTACATGTACGTGTACGGGACACACACCTCGGGCAGCTCCAGCTGGAAGGTGGGCGCGACGAGCGCGCAGGGCTGCAGGCGGCGCAGCTTGTAGGCGACCTGCCGCACCTACGTGTACATGTACGTGTACGGGACACACACCTCGGGCAGCTCCAGCTGGAAGGTGGGCGCGACGAGCGCGCAGGGCTGCAGGCGGCGCAGCTTGTAGGCGACCCCGTCCAGCGCGCGCCGCACGTGGCGCTCGCCCGCGGTGCTCCACGCGCCGCCCGACATCGCCAGCCGACCTCGCCACACCTGCGCAAACAAAATCAATGACATTTTTAAATACCTTAATGACTATGGAAATTTTATGTCAAGAAAAAGAAAGGGGAAATAGATCACCAAATTTAAACACATTAGTAACTATAGAGATTTTGTGGCGAGCATGACAAGGGAAATAAAGATCAACAATTTTAAACACTTTAGTGGCACTATGGACTTTTTCGATCAAGGGGAACAAACGGAAATACAGACCACCAATTTTAAACACTTTAGTGACACTATGGACATTTTATACCTAGGCGAACAAACGGAAATACAGAGTATCAATTTAAAACACTTTAGTGACACTATGGACATATTATGTCAAGGTGAACAAATGGAAATACGAGTACAGAGCACCAATTTTAGAAACTTTAGTGGCACTAGGGACATTTTATATGAAGGGGAACAAAGGGAAATACAGAGCACTAATTTGAAACACTTTATTGACACTATGGACATATTATATCAAGGTGAACAAACGGAAATATGTACAGAGCATCAATTTTAGAAACTTTAGTGGCACTAGGGACATTTTATATGAAGGGGAACAAAGGGAAATACAGAGCACTAATTTGAAACACTTTATTGACACTATGGACATATTATATCAAGGTGAACAAACGGAAATATGTACAGAGCATCAATTTTAGAAACTTTAGTGGCACTAGGGACATTTTATATGAAGGGGAACAAAGGGAAATACAGAGCACTAATTTGAAACACTTTATTGACACTATGGACATATTATATCAAGGTGAACAAACGGAAATATGTACAGAGCATCAATTTTAGAAACTTTAGTGGCACTAGGGACATTTTATATGAAGGGGAACAAAGGGAAATACAGAGCACTAATTTGAAACACTTTATTGACACTATGGACATATTATATCAAGGTGAACAAACGGAAATATGTACAGAGCATCAATTTTAGAAACTTTAGTGGCACTAGGGACATTTTATATGAAGGGGAACAAAGGGAAATACAGAGCACTAATTTGAAACACTTTATTGACACTATGGACATATTATATCAAGGTGAACAAACGGAAATATGTACAGAGCATCAATTTTAGAAACTTTAGTGGCACTAGGGACATTTTATATGAAGGGGAACAAAGGGAAATACAGAGCACTAATTTGAAACACTTTATTGACACTATGGACATATTATATCAAGGTGAACAAACGGAAATACAGAGCACTAATGTTTAACACTTTAGTAACACACTGGACACCGTATATCAATTGGGAACACTTTTAAACACTTTAGTGACACTATGGACATTTCATATAAAGGGGAACAAAGGCAAATATAGAGCACCAATTTTAAAAACTTTAGTGAGACTATGGACATTTTATATCAAGGGGAACAGTGTTTAAAATTGGTGCTCTATATTTAGAGCACCAATTTTAAACACTTTAGTGATACTATGGACACTTTATATCAAGGGGAACCAACGGAAATACAGAGCACCTATTTTAAACACTTTAATGACACTATGGACATTTTATATCAAAAGGGGAACACTTTTAAACACTTTAGTGACTATACGATGTTTTGCCAAGATCAAAAATAAGCAGTAAGTTCAGCCACTTTCTGGACAGCGAAGATTTTATACCGAGGATCAAAGAGCTCTAATTTTGCATAATTAAGTTACGTACCTGGGTGAAAGCATGTGGAGGCGCGCCGAGAACAGGCTTCAGTGAGCTCGTGAACACTTGCATGTTGACGTGGCGTTTAGCTAGAGCCCGCGCCGTCTCAACCTGACAACGTTATAGGAATTAGAACAAAGTAAAATTCTTAGACTTAAGTATTAACTCCAAGTGGTTATGTGTAATTGGATATTAAAATATTTTTTTGTCTGTCTGTGTTTCTGCTGATCTTCGGAACGGGTGAACCGAACTCTGCAGGACTTATACAGGCAGGTATGTTATAAGGATCGGATAATATAATATAAAAATATAAATATGAACATATGAGCAAAGCCACTTTGGTGTACATCTAGTGTTTAATACTAGATGTAAAGTACTTACATCCTCAGCCTCATCGAGTTCCAGCACACAGGCGTCCTTGTCAGCGCACAGATCTAGTGCTGGAGGGTCGTCGCCCTCTGCCTCTGGGAGAGCACCGTTGGTATTGTGCTCAGCAGTACCTGGGGACAGACAGATATCACAATGTTGTTAAAGTGACTGAAATTACAAGAAACGTTATACTGAGTAAAGAGTGAGCGTCAGTACTACAGAGGCATGTTATAATGATGTCAGTCGTCTAAGATGCAGCGGAGGCATGCTTCGACAAAGATCAACTGATTACAGAATCCACATCTAGTCACGGAGAGTTTCTCAAAGAAGTATTGTCACTACCTACTTACCTTACACTTACTTTTTTGGCGTTCACTCCTTAACAATAGATTTTTATATAAGGCACCCGGAATGAAAAAAATATGAAGAGTAAAATTTAGTGATCGAATGACCTCGTTAAGTTTTTGTGCGCGACCTATCGTGCGCACCTTTCACACGTGTGTGTTTAACATGTGTACTTGTGTGCAGCTGAATCGTTCTTAAGGAGTAGACGCCAGTCATGAGTCGGAGCTGACACACACACTTTTTTTTTTCATACTAAGGTTACATATTACTTATACTCCTAACCGCTCTACGTAAATAATATGGCTGTTTTCGAGGTGGATTTAAATGAGTAGGGATGAGATGGAATTTAAGCTTGCAATCACTTATAACACTTGATCGCAAAATCTGCGGCCTGCTCATGAGACCAGGATTGCGGAGAATCGGGTGCAGGTTAACTATTAACAAATAAGACTTTACAGATATCGTAGTGGTTTAAGCGCTCATCTCGCAGCTACCTAGAGCGCTGAGTGTTATGGGTACGATCCCCATATGGCACAACACATTGTGTGACCCACAAATTGTTGTTTTGAGGTATTCTGTATGTCCGTTTCATGACTGTTTGCTAAGTCCCCGCGACACAAGATAAATTCCTAGTGCGGAAGTTGTATTAAAAAAAAAACTGTCTAACTCACCTACATCAAATCCGTTGGCAACCCTGTTGGCTGAAAACGACTCCCAGAGAGCTTTTTGTATTTCCAAAGCGTCTTTATCGTTTTCTGATGCCTGCAACAAAACATGATTTCATTAGTAAATGAGAGTTAAGCACCTTGTTCCCTCCTCCGAGCCTTTTTTCCCTAAACTAGATTTTTTTTACGCGGAGCGACTGCCATTAGATCTCCTCAACCCAAGTACTAGGCGGTATCGAAGTCCTGTAGAAAGACTGTTGTACTTTTTAGGGCTCTAACTCCCCGTAACTCTTAGATTTTCAATTTACTATTGTTTTTGGTCTTCTGTCAACTTTGGCAGACGCTTTCTGTCGATGTCAATAGTCCATAAATAGAGGAAACGAAATATAAGTGTAACTAAAAAAGTGAGACTGCACTATTTGCTTGAGGCTGTTTCTATCTCATGATTGGTAAAATGACCAAGGCTCGAAGAAAGAGGCAGATTTAAAGTGTGGTTACTATAGTACAGTCTGTTCGGTATCGGACGGTCGTGTGTTAAGTGTCTTAGGTTATTATTGTAGTATGTACACACCGCAAGCGAAATACCAGATCAAGTTTACATTTGTGTGTTATTCCATATTATTATGTGTTAACATCACATTTATGAGTGTGTGTGAATAGGCTAGTTGACTCAATTTGAAAACTTGGTTAATAATATACTTTAATATCTATTTTATCCCAAAAAAAACTATATTTTAAATTTCCTTTCAAAACGCTGAATAGTGTCATGGCGTCTTGAATGTCACAGTCTGCGAAACAAAACTGTTTATATCTGTGTCCAATGTCAACTGAAACTGTATTAAGGTGAGAAAATATGCTAAAAACGAAAAACAATAAGGTGCTCTGTTATATGAAAACGTCAACAACAATGATGTTTTGCGTGGCGTGACGTAACACTTTGACGTGCCAGTTAGTTTTTCTTTTTAATATTAATAATCTTTAACTTTTATGAGAAATAGACTGGTTTTTTCTTATCTATGTCTCTTCATTTATAATTTGAAACTATAAACCAATATTTGTTGTAGTTAGTGGACACAAGCTTATTGTAAATAACTCGTTTTCTCACTCATACACTTGCAAATTAATATTATTTCAAAACCATTCTGTGTTATTTATTTTAATTTCTCTAGTAATAGTTCATTAAATTACAGGTATTTCGTACTACTGATCAGGTATTTCGTTTGCTGTGTATGCATTAAGCTAGACTGGAAGAATCTTTTCACTGTTTGGTTGTAGTTATATTTTCTATTTTTTCTCTTTCAGAGGATACTATTCTAGAAATTTCTTTATCACTTGAACAATGAATACAGGTCACCTTGATTCTAGGAGGTGTGGGTGGCGGCAGCGCTGATAATCTAACAGCGGTCCCGCTGGCCAGCGCCATCACACACCGCTCACCAATGGCTATTTGAGTTTGTAGAGAGAATAACGCATTCGCGCCCTGAAAACAAACAGGAATATTATATATCTCTGGTATTTTTCTTTTAAACAGATATTGCACACTTCAATATAAATATTTAAATATTCTACCACATTAGCACAACGCCATCTAGTCCCAAATTAAGCAGTGCTTGTACTACTAGACAACTGATATAAATACATTTATAATTTTTTGGTAAATACATACTTCATATACATAGAAACACCCAGACCAAATCAAACATTAAATGTTCATGCACATAAATGTTTGACTTGAGCGGGAATCGAAACCGCGACCTTTGAATTGCAGTCCGTTACACAAACCACGATGCCATCGGGTCGTCTAAATGGAATAAATTACTGCACCATGTAGCAGCTCGATTACATTTTTTTCTACTTTTAGTAAAATTCAAGGGTCATAGGTTAGGCTCTGGTAATCTTACTCCGTTCTGTGAAGGCATGATATCACTCGAGCCAACCCATTTCTGTAGAAGCTTAGCTCTTCCATGACATAAGTGGAGTAGTTTTATTTCTTGAACACACCAAGCTTTTGATCACACAAATGTCACATGGTGACTAATTAAGTAATTAAATTGTAAACTTGAAACAAATTAATATCATTATTTAACTATCTATGTACTTATAGGAGTCTTACATTAAATATTAGTTACGTTCATTAAAAAAATACCTGCATCCGAAGCTTGGCCAGTAATAATTTATGTAATTCATATTCTAAGAACGGTAGCTGGTCAGAGATGTCCCTGGCGCCTGGCTCCGATGTGGGAGGGGCTCGACGGACACGAGAAGCTAGAACAAACGATACAATGGTCAGAAGTACAGGTATTGGTAGAAGGGGGCAAAGAAGTCAAGGGGGCCCCCCTTTTGCTCTCCACCCCCAATCTCGAGCATTTTTTTTTTTAAGCAATTCTTGTTTAAATGCATATGTAAAAAAAAATCTCGAAAATGTTTTTTTACGATTTGAATTCAATTTCGTCTTTAGATAAAGTTTTGCTTTTAAGTTTTTCTACAATGATTTGCAAAACAGCAAGGTTCATAATAAACAAGGGGGACACTCCTCCCTGTATTTCTCCTAGAGGTGGCCATAATGGTAGCTCTTTTTAAGTTTACTATACTAATCAACAAAACATATTGTACAGCTCTTTCTAAACTCAAAATAAGTATAAATTGTTAATATAGGTACAGAAATAGATTGTTATTTTTGCACGGCGTATAAAATCGTAGAAGCGATCCTTAATTTTGCAGTTGTATATTCTGCCACCGTGTTATATTAGTCAATTACTTCTGACTTTAATTACCTTAATAGTATTTATGTATAACTAGCTTTTTCACGCGACTTTGATCGGCATGGTGGTCGACATCAGATATCGTAGTAATTATACTCTGAGTTTGGAATCGATCGTTTGTATGTAAATGAAAATGAAAAAAAGCGTATGGTGCTTTTTACTATTGACAACAGGCACCCAACGCTTTTTTTCAAATTTATTTTCTATTTTTTTAGTTTGGTTTTCTATAGAAAGCGTGTTTTTTTAGTTTTTTAAAACTATAATTTTTTTTTTTAAACTATAATTTTTTCATTTTTTTTTATATTAGTGTATTGTCATCGGTCCTCGATATATCTACAAAGTTTAAACGAATTCTGACCGTTTAAAGTCAGTCAAAATTACGCCCAAAGGAGTCGGTTACATACAAACAAACATACAGGTGAAGCTAATAAAAGCGTGTTAAAAAACAGTGGCACTCCGAAAGTGAGTGCGGACAGAAGTGAAAACTTTAAAATTTTATGATTATAATTAGTTGTTTTTGTTTTTATCGATTCGAAAAGTTCCGACATGAATATATATATATATATTTCTATGTTGTACGTATATACACGATATATGTTTATATTATATATAGTTATATTTATTAATGTATTTCCACCCAAACTCAACTCTTGTGTAAACGGGGTGGATATATATGTAGATACTTATATACAGAGACACTCGCGACACTGTTACCGTTACCGACACGGTAACGGTAACAGTGTCGCAAGTTCAATAGATTTTTCCCATCTTAAAAAATGATTGAAAACAACGTTTTTCAATAACTTTTATGAGGTATTTACCTTAAATTTGAAAACCTACTGCCAAAAATAACAAAATTTACATTTTTGCACCCTTTGAGGTGGAAATTTTAAAATCCTTGCTTAGTGCACACCTACGTCACCTAAGGAACATTTGTGCAAAAATCAGTCCGTCAGTTTCTTCTGTTACAGATTATATTTTGGGTAAATATAAAAACTTACCAACAGCAGTAAGCGTGACAGCTTTGGCTTGTGACGTCAACTTGTTAGGTTTGGCGCACGTCGCCAGCAACACAGTGGGGACACGAGCTCGCCTGAAATGTACATATTTATAAAAATACAACTTCTCCAAATTATTATGATGTGCTTATCACACGATTGTAAGACAACTCCCGCATTAGGAATATATCCTGTGTCGCGAGGGACTTTACAAACATACATGAAACGGACACAAAGAACACCCAGACTCAAAACAACAATTTGTGGATCACACAAAGTGTCGTCCTATGTGGGGATCGGACCCACAACCCTCAGCGTAGTATCGGCGTGGCGACCGCTTAAACCACTACGCCATCCGTGCAGTGAATTGAACCTAGGGCCCCTGGCTTAATAGGCACTAGAGCAAATGGACATATATGTATTATGATAATGTATTTTTCCATTGGTGAAAGAATTTAGAATGTAAAATGTAATGTAAGTATGGTGATGATAGAATTCTTCAAGTTCTTGATAAAAGACAATCAAATTACAAGCCTGCGACCCAGGCTCGTCTCTCCCCTTATCTCTCTTCTTGTCCTCTTCCAACATAGTCGATATTTTTCATGCTTTAATTCTCGAAGTGTTCATTTAACGGAATGAACTTTCTTTATCGATGTGATAGTATAATTGTCTCTGCTTACAACGTACAAGAAGGCGAGAATATATACAGATTTGGTGGTGCAGTGGTGGCGTATGCGATTGTTGTGCTGAAGTCTCGGGTTCCATTCCCGGGTCGGGATGTTGGTATGATTTACAAATATTTGTTTCGTAGTTTGGGTGTTTTCTATGTATGTATTCTATCAGTCAATCTAACTTTCATAGTACAAGCTCTGCTTAGTTTGAAACTAGATTTCACAATGTCAGATGTCCGAAAATATTATTATTATATGTATAAAAAAACTTATATGGATAATAAAAAGTTTACCTGCAACCTCCACAAGTGGAAAGTTCAGCTCTGTAGGGTCCAGAACCTGGTGAATAAGGTACATGCGCCATACTGCACGATTCGCTCTCCAATTCATCCATCGCATTTCTTGAGCCGGCGTTAACTATTAGAAAAAAAACACTGTTTGAACTAAAGACCGACAAAGAGCTCAGTGTACCTAATATACAAACAATTCTCGCACTTTTTTTCTATTAAAAACTTTAAGCTTTTTGAACACTCAAGAGTTAGGGCCGGCGCTGACTGACGTCGTATCACAGCAGGAGTGCTTCGGTAGCTCGAAGGATGCTCTAATATGAAGGCTCGTGGAAAGCCCAGCAACTCAACTTAGTCACCGCATTCCGTTTTAAACCTTATTTCAATTGGTTTAGATGTCATAATCCTTTGATTTATCTGGCTCGTGGGATGCGGTGGGCACGCCGCGGCAATCCGTGGAATAAAACGGCACGCCACGACGCGCCACAATATGATTGTTTCGAAATAAAATAATATGAATTCTAAGCTAATTTAAATTAGGATAAAAATAACTTGATCAGAATTGAACTCCTTTACCGTGTCGTGCCGGGCCACAACGTCAGTCAGCTCGGGCCCCTACAAATAAGTTGCCGCCCTTTGCGTCTCCCCACGGCCTGCCCTCAAGGAAGACTGGCGTTTTGGCTCCGGTAAACTCACTCACTCAGTAAAAAGTAACGAAAAACCGCTTAACGGTTTTCTGCGAGGCCGTGGCATCACTCCGGTTGAGCTGACCCATTTGGGCTTTTCCACGGTAACAGTAGACCGGGCGCTACAGTTAAGTGTATATATCAACTGTGTGTACCTATGTGTGTGTGTGTGTGTATAAACTTCACATCGCATCAACAGCCTGTAATAGTCCACCGATGGACATAGGCACTTTTAGGTTAGAATATTTCAGAAACCCGCCAATTTCTGTAATTTGGACCTCAGATCCGGATTCAGCGCACCAAAACCTTTCGGAGTAGTATACTCTGGTTTCTGGGTCTCTGGGTTGTCGGCCTGTGTATGAGCAGAAGGGGTAAAAAAAGAAATTGACCAAAAAATTTACTGGCATGATCCACATTATTAATCTTTGACCTTTGCTTAACACAATTCCATTGGGGGAATTCGGTCCTCCCATTTTGCATACTCACTTACCTTTAGCGCCTGCACTCTAGGTTAAATTAGCTAACATACATAGGTGTAGAGTCGACAGACCTTTGACATTTGATATTAACTCGAGCATAAAAGTTTCATGTTAAAAGGAAAATGCGAAACCAAATTAGCCTAAATTAAAAAAAAAACTTGAAATAAACAATACCTGTAATCATGTTATCAGATTCTGCATTAAAACCACAGTCGAGGTTGATGACGGCTGCCGTACCAGATGCTGAGAGTACACATACATCTTCACTGAAAAAACATTTTAAGATCAGACGACAACACCATAAATATATATTGAAATAAACTTCAGACGATCGGAGATCAAACGGTTATCCGGAAATCATCCGATATCCGGCCTATACAGCGTTGAATCGCGGTCGAATAATGAATGGTAAACAAGCATGCAGCTGGATATTTAATTAAGGCAGATACTTTATTTATACGCACAACAAATATGATATTTACATTTTATTTAGAATAGTATTAATAAGCGCTTGAAATAATATAATGTGAATACCAAAATTACCCAAAAATAAAACTGTGGAAGTCTCGCGAATTATATCTCCCATGATTGACATCCGTACGTCAGAACAGATAGTACGCAGAAGTTAAACAGTTTACCTTTTAAATTTATATGGAGTTTTTTATCTTTTATAGCCTAAGGGAGGCCGGAAGTTAATAAATTTAGTTTTAATTTACCAGTCATACAGAGCGGTTTTATTTTGACACTCATAACTTAGCATACATATCAATTGCGCAACCTGTAGGTTTTAGGTACTTTTTATCCAGGAAACGTAATGTTCCCGATACCGAACGCTACTATAGTCCTTTCGCGTTAAGAAAATAGTGACGCATCGATCGAGTCCCGCACTCGACCAATCAGGTAGCAAGCTTTCGAACGAAACGATAATTTCTTGGAACGTTATCGTCAGAGGTCGGGGCACGCTGCACTCACCAGATGGCGGCGGTGTCGCTGTAGGCGATGACGGCGTTGCACCGCAGCGCGCGGGCGTGCGCGCGCAGCTCCGTGCGCAGCTCGGCCCACCACGCCGCGCGCGCCGCGCCCTCGCCGCCCTCCGCCAGCTTCACCGAGCGCGCGCACACCGTGCCACCTGGGAAATACCGCTCTAGTCACGTGTCTACTTGTAACACCTTCCACTGATCATTGTCTAAACTCACAGAGAGAGATGGTGAAATGGTCGTCCATTAATCACGTGATTTTTTAGACCACCCAAACCAACCGACCCGCCCTACCCAAATCACGTGTAGTTTTTCTAATAATCTTTAAATACAGGTGTAATCTTAAAGGATTTAATTTTGGGAAATTAAGCAACATGATAAAAATATCCAGACAGACATGAACGTTGTTTTTGACTGACATAAAAATAATCAAGACAGGTATAAAAAAACATATATTTTTACATCTAGATATTTGCCACAATTCCTATATTCGCTTTAGGAATGTGATACTCAAATCGATTCCATGATTCCCACTTTAATTGTTTAAGCTTATCTGTGTGTAATTCCTAAGTACTATATTTTTTGTTCATTGTCGTTCACTTTAATCTTAATCGTTCTACTACTTGAATGTGTTTCTAACTAATTCAAGAGTCCAATATCAAGATAACCAATTATATTCTTGACACCCTGTCTTAATAGCCCATGTACACCTGCACAGTCACAGTGCGCTGCTGCCTTTGAGTCCCTCTACTCAGAATCAGGGAGGGAGGGAGGGAGGGACTTCTTCTCAGTTCACTCACGTGAAAAATAACGAAAAAGAGTGAGTAAAGCTTTTTTTTTTAATTTAAGCTATTATATCATCACTTACCGATATGCACAATAAAACCAGGTGGATATTCAGTCATTGTGAGGAAAGGATACTCCAGCATATCGAGGTTGTTGCTGTTCATCGATGGACGCAAGATGGCGCCTCCACCGCTCCCGACGTTGACCGCTGACGTGGTTAGTGAACTACCTGAACACATATTTCGTCATATTCACTTAACAAAACCCTTAGAAAAATTATTTCAAATAAAACTTTCTTTATTTAAAATGCTAATTGTACCCAATTGTACGCTTCGCTGTGGCGCTTTATAGTTCCTTGGTGAGAAATAAGAACAAAACTGACAAGAAAAATAAATAAAAACAATCTTTGAAGAGGGTTTTACATCGTGCCACAATTTGGGCTCAATCGGTTCAGAACTTTTGAGTTTTTGAACTTTACAGAAACCACTTAACAATATTATATACATATATTATTATCATTATCCAAGTCATAAGAGATTCACTAATGATCGTAGACCTCTTTTGTTATCGTTGTTGTTCTATAAAATAAAAAAGGCTCACCTTTCGGAGTAACACTGAGATCCGAATCAGAAGACCGTCTATGAATACCCATAGGCGTCGAAGGGGCATTGAGCGACGAGTTCTGCGCATGCGAAGGCGGCGGATCCCTCCCACCATACGATTCATGCCTCGCATGTCTCGGTGAACCTTTGTCCTTGTCACACTTATCTTCTGTACGTCGTTCCCTCTCGCTCCTGTTGGAACGGCACACGGCATGCGTGTTATCACACACACTAATGTTAGTTTCCTCTACGAAATCATGATCTAGACTGCCTTCAGGCAATGAAGGTATGGTTTCTAGGACTCCAAGAGTTGGATGAACAGGCGTTCTAGTTACTTGGTATGGTGATGTGTTAAGATTGTCGGACATTTTAGGCGGTTCGTTTTCTGTTACTGAATGAATACTATCTTGTCGAGTAAGTTTTTTACTTTTAGTCCTTTTAACGCCAATTTTTCCAGTAGCATCGTCGCCATCAATATCTTTGACACACGCTGATTGGACTTTATCAATAACGACAGTATTCATTTCTGTGTTAATTATACCAGTTGTCTGTCCATTCTTTGGTTTATGGTCTTCATTTTCTGCACGAGGTTCTGCTCGGTTAATTATTGGTTCAGACTCTCTATTAACCAGGCCTAAAGATTCAATATTACCGTCACTATAATTTGCCGAAAAACCTTTGTCGTTTTTAAATTCATCATCGATTACATCGCTATGTTTTTCTAATGGCTTTACATTATCTAGCAATATTGTTTGAACAACAGTCTGCACCAAGCCAGGTGATTTCAAATCGTCATTAAGATGTTCGACACTTTCCGATATGGTGTTTGTAAAAAATTTAGGTTCGACATAGGTCATGCCAGGTTTATCTACTAAGGAATGGACCTTTTTCATAAGAATTGTTTCTTTATGAAGTTGTTCATTACACTTGCCATCAGTACTATTATTTAGTATTACTGGGTTTGATGGTACTAGCGCATCAAGTTCAGAAGCATAAGCTTTATCTGAAGTAATGGTTTCTACAGCACTTATTACATGTTCTTTAGAAGTTAAATCTTCTCTGCTAGCTTTTAATGCTTCTGATACTTCGGCATATGTTTTCGGTTCTACGAATGTTGCACCTGGTTGACCGACAAGAGAATTAACTTTGTCCATTAATATTGTTTCCATTGCTGTATGCGTCAACCCAGAGGAAAATTCTTCTTTAGGTTTTGTTGGTTTACTATCGACATTTTCAATTATGACAGGATTTGGTACGCCTGCACCAAGTGCAGAAGCGTTCATTCTCTCCATACTTTCAACAGCAGAATGAACCAAACCACTTTCTTTCAATTCATCATTTTCAATTTTTGGCTTAGGTATTACAGGACTATCGAAAACGTTAAAATAAGTTGGTTCGGGTGTTTCAGGACCCAACACAGCCTGTACCTTTTCCATTAACATGGTTTCCATAGCTGTATGAACAAGGCCGGTGGATTCCACTTGCTCCTTCTTTTTCTTGTTATTAAAATATTTTTCAGTCGGTGATGAAGGCTCTGATGATTTAGAAGTAAGCAAAGAATGAATAAGATTAAGTGGTTTTTTGAGTTTACTTTTAGGCAAGTCGTGTTTCTCACTTGAATCAAAATCAGTGAATACTAATTCCGGCTTTGGTGAACCAGGAGTCGAAGGAACGAGTACTGATTGTACTCTATCCATTAGCATTGTCTCCATAGCTGTTTTCACTAACCCTGAATTTTTATCTTTTTTATAAATAGTACTGACTATAATAGGTTTTGTGCTTACAGGTGGAACTTTAGATATTTTTAAAGGTATCGGTACTAACTTTCTCTGAAAAGATTCTTTACGTTCTGCCTTATACCTATCTTTTGCTACCTCGCCTAATTTTTCGTTTACATCAGCAAAAAATTGTTTTGTTTCTTTAGAATGACAATCGGGCGAACCTGGTACCATCAAATTTTGTACCCTATCCAGTAACATAGTTTCCATGGCCGTATGAACCAAACCTGTTGATTTTGAACCCTTCGAAGACTTCTTACTATGATCATGAGATTCTTCTTTATGGTGTGAAAACATAGAAGCACTAAGCGAAGCTCTAGAAACAGGTTCTGATCCGATGTACATAGAGACTTTGGCTCGATTAAATTCATCGCTCTTGTGTAATATGTTATTGTCGCGGCTTTCCCTATCAAGACTGAGCAAATCATTGTAGGACAAGAATGTGGAACCTAAAACAGTGTCACTTGGGGCTTTGGACTTTATATCAGTAGACGACCCTGGTTGACTAAGCGGCATTTTGGTTTCCTTCTTTTTTGGATGTAAAGAGTAATGTGAAATACTTTTAATCATAGTACTATTAGATAGTTTTGAAAGTTGTCGTTTAATGCGTTGTGAGGAGCGATATACGAAACTACTTTTCTCTACAGGTGAGGACGGCTCACTAATGCTTTTTGAATGTTTCTTGTGAGAAAAGGGATTATGGAACTTAAAATGATGACTATTTGATTTTGTTACACACGTGTCATCCTTCACCGATGTTGTTGAAGCTTCGTTTGATTTTATAAGTTTCTCTTTGAGGTCATTCTTTGAAGGCACTTGAACTTGAATCGTCTCTAAAGATTTGCATTTATCAATGAGTAATTGATTGTCAAAAATTTGCTGCTCTAATTCGATTTTCTTGTCAAGCCCTTGCTGGATTTCATTAGCCTTGAAATTCTGGTCAGGGGAGGCGATTTCGACGACATTTAATTTTCTATCCATATTTGCTATGACGGTCGGGTCTCGTTCTTGACTTAAAACCGAGTGAACAATAGAGCTGGTAGTCTCTATTGACTTATCTGTATCCGTTTTCAAATCAGAACTTTCGTCTTCTCCATCGGTGCTGGTTTCAAGCTCAGAGCTTTCAGCGGATAATGCAGAAGAAATAGAACCAAAATAGTTATCCTCTCCAGGTAGAGTAAGATTCTCACTTCTACTAGGCATAGGTGTCGCTGGACATGATTCAGATATCTTTCTCTGTCTACTTGGTTTTGCATCTTCAGCGTTAATGTTACTGAGTGATGTGAAATGAATTTCAGGAAGGGTTTTATCACTTTTATTTGAACCGTCAGCTTCTTTGTTTATCGTTGGGTTCTCATCATCTGAGATGTTAATTGTAGGTTCAGACTCGCTAGTACGTCTCAGGGTTGAACCCGGAGATTGTTCAGAATCTTGGGTTTCTGAGATACAAGCAAGGCTTGTTTGAGCATGTATGACAGATCTAGCCAATATAGACGCCATACCTTCACCTTGATCGTCTTTATTAACAACAACAGGTTTAAGAAATGTTGGCTTTTTAAATCTCTTGAGTTTTTTAAACTCATTTTTTAAATCCACTAAAGATAAACGTGATGTTTCAGATGAGTTAGATTTTAGAGAAATAGAATCATCTTGCTTATCAGATTTTTTTGAACGTGTAGTAAATCTTTTTGCAAAGAAATGAGTTTTTAAATTTTTTATCTTTTGCAATGGTCCAGAGGAGTCAGAATCATCACTGTCTCTATTCAAAAGCCTGTTCAAATCTGTCTGGTCTTCAGTCAGATGTCTAAGATTTCTATGATGATAATATTCATCCTGAAATATTGATCCACTACCAGTATAACTGGTAATACTCGACTGTCGTCTACAGTCCAAACTTTTTTCATCGTCATCTAATGCATCTGTTTCGTCCAACATTGCCGAAGCATTAGGATTTAATATGACCAGCATCTTCTGTAATTCTTCTTGATGAGTTTGATAGTATATATTCAAATCAGTCAAATTCTCATTATCGGTAGCCAAAATGTCCAAATACTTTTTTAATTGTCTATTTAAGTTAGCAGACGGACACAACAAACCATGCAAAAATGAACTATAAGTAATTGTTTCAAAGCTTACTTTTAATCTAATTAATCTTTTTTTTTTATTAAGCACATTTAATTTCTGAGACAGGGACAAAAATGTTATTTATTGCCGAGCATGACACTTGGCAAATCATAGGCAAAAATAAATTGTAGCTTAAATTGTCCATTTCATACACTGGCAAAATGTAAATCTGAAATAAAAACTCGAACTGCTGAAGTTGGGGTTTTAATTTTATTTAATTTAGCTTTTTTTAGCATTACACATCATTGAACTAGTGTGGTTTTGACGGTTTCCAAATTGCTTGGAGAAAATTTTATATAACCCTCAAATATTCATCTTTTGCTCATAAGGAGTAATAATTGTCATGAAACATTACTTCCTTGCCTTCGTTATGACAAAAAAGAGAATAATAAAAAGAGAAAGAAAACAAGAAAGAGACTATACTCACTGCTGTGTACAAGGTGGCATGTTGATGGGTTGACTAGGCATAGGTATTGGTGTCATGCTCACTGCAGTACCTGAAAATTAGAAACAACTTTACTATTCCTAGATAATACATAGATGTATGTATATAACCATGATAATAATTATTGAAATTTTGACAGAAATATACACTTTTTATGGTATAAGGGGGCAAACGAGCAGACGGGTCACCTGATGGTAAGCAACTACCGCCACCCATGGACCTGCAACTCAAAAGTCACAAGTGCGTTGCCGCCCTTGGAGTCCCTCCCGGTCGAGTCAGCGGGAGGGGGGATTTGGGCTCCGGTAACCTCACTCACTCAGTGAAAAGCAACGAAAGAATTGCTAACACCGGTTTTCGGTCACATATGGACTTATTGTTGAAAATTAAGGTTTTAAAATCGGTTAAACAACAGAGGAAACAATTTTTTTAATTGTTTGTACCTACTTTTCACTGTCAGGAGTCTTAACGAGTCAGATCCCCTCTACTATTGGTGAATCATTTGGATTAGATGAGGTTGCGGTCAGAAGTACTTTTGACTGATTTCGCCGGTTATTTTTTTTTTTTTTGATCAGTTAAGAGTTTTTTGACCGTAACAGATACAAGACGAGAAATAAAAAAATCTTTTTACAAATAAGTTGAACCCACTACAAACAATACTAACAAAGAGCATTATAAAACCTAAGTAGCATTCGCGGTTGATTCGCTGTCATTTTTTTAAGAGTTGTCTGTCTCCGAAACTTATCAGATCTATATGAAATTTAAATGATACCTTTTCGGAATAAACCCTTTTCGAACAAAAAGATAATTATGCATCCGTCTTTGAACATCCGAAAACATAACCTCCTCCTTTTTGAAGTCGGTTAACAAAGATAAATTTATATTAATGAATACTAGCCTAACGTCTATATTAACGATTGTGACCATCACAATTAAATAGTTTTAATGCACATAATATGTAAATGAAAATGGTTGCAGCATCTAAATTCCATACCGATGGCTCTGGCGACTACACCAGCCTCGCCTTCTAAATCAAAGTCTTGTTGATAGCCGACCACGGCGTTTGCACCCAGTTCAGCTGCCTTCAATCCAATCAGTCGTTGTACCTGAAACCAAATAACAGTAGCATTATATATAACTATACAAATAAAAATGAATCGCCAAATGTGTTGCTAAGAGCGAAACTCGAAAATGACTCGACCAATTCGGTTTTTTTGAATTTTTTGCTAACGCACAAGGAAGGTTCTTATAGAGAAAAGAAGTAAAAACAGCACTATCCATTTCTCATACAAACCACAGAGTAAAAACACTTGTTCAAGCTGTCAAAAATTTGACGTCAATTAAAACGAAACAGAGGCGCCTTTGGTTTCTTTGGTATGCCTTCAAGTTGATTAGGTTGTACGGATATTAGTCTTAAGACTGACCAAAAAAAATTCGAAGAAAAGTGGTCACTGAAATACTTTTTTGTTATCTACTGGACTCCAATACACCAATAACTTTGGACGCAAAAGAAGTCTGTCGGGGTAGCTAGTATTTAGTACAATTTATTTGGTTAAATATTATACAGGGTGTAAGGGACATCGTAACGAATACTGAAATAACGAATACTGGCAGAAAATGCCAATGATTTTCGACTCAGAATGATGGTCTGAATATACTATTTCAGTATTCATTACGACGTTCCTTACACCCTTTATATGTATGTTATTATTATTAATTTTGGTAAATTATTAAGACCTTACCTTGTTAAATGATTAAATGCACTAAGACCTTATAATTTTATAAATAATTCATCACTTGGACATCTATTAATACTAACCTGATTGCTAAGTTTAATAAACGCCACCTGTCTCGCCTCGTTAGACGCTCGAGGCGTTCTGATCTTGTCAATCCACTGGTACTCCGGATCATCGTTCATCACTAACTCTTCAACAAAGCCATGGATTGATGTCGCTCTATATCCTGGTGGTATCGTGGGACCTGGTAAGGAAATAGCCTAATTACTATCTTTCTATGAACCGGGATTACAATACGCACGCACGTAAGCACGCACGCAAGCACGCACCTTCCTGTGTCGCAGGGGACTTTACAAATATTTAAATACAATCATCATCATCTCAGCCAAAAGACATCCACTGCTGGACCTGTGGTGGTCGTCGAACCTTGTAGGGGGCCTACCCACGCTCCGCCTTCCGGTACGTGTTTGCCACTCCAGAACTTTTTGGCACACCAGAACTTTTTTAAATACAATATTTGCCTATTTTTTATACATAATGTAATTTTACTATTTGAATTGTTTACTGTTTACGCGATGCATTGTCATTTGGCAAAGCTTTCGTCTAAATAAAGCGCCAAATACTTTGTCACATTCGCAATATATACACATGACAAATAAATAGTCAGAGAGCTAACAAGAAACAAGCACACTTAAAACTAATATATTTATATGTATAAAATTATATGTAAATTAACATAAATACATATTATACATAACTAACTTATAACTATTTGCCAGCCTTTGATAGTCCACTGCTGGACATAGGCCTCTCCTTACAAAGGAAGTTATGGCCGACTCTACCGACTACCGAATCGCTAACCACTAGACCAACATTTTATAACGGTATGAATCACATGGACATTAGTGCCACACTGTTATGTCAACACAAGTTAGTCAAGAACAAAGCCGTAAACTTCATTATTACGAAGGAAGTTCAAGGAGATATATTGCTCAAACCAGGCTCAAGACCTTTTTTTGGGGGACGGGGTGGAAAATCCCTACAGATCTCCGGCAAGAGTGTGTTGTGTTTCCACTAAATACCACCCTAACACCGTATTGTAATCGTAATTTTCATTGCACATACTAAAATGTCAGTTCAAATTTCATTGAAGAAAAAAAAGAAATTCAAAACGGCCGAAATTCGACCACCACGCATCTCTTCAACTTACAATGAAAGAATTGGACTCCACAGCTTGATGTTTTGTACTTATTGAAGTCGGAGAACAGTTCCACCTTGACAATGACATTCAGCTCGCCGCGGATCCCGTGCATGGTGTCGAACACGGGGATCCAGCCAGACATTACAGCACCTGAACAAAAAACACACACGTGCTATTAGACTTCTAATCGTGTTTTCGGACTTTAATCGAATGTACTGTCGCTATCGGATCGAATCGATTATCGAAGACATCATAATTCAACACTCTTAATGAGCGGTAATTTTTCTGTGAGGCAGGGTCGTGGATGTTTAATAGCGTTTAAAAAAATAACTATAAAGTAGGTGTACCTTTTGGAGGGGTGGGGATCAAGCTTAAAAGTATGTATGCATATACAATTAGGGTTTTAGGATAATTTAATTCTTCTGACTGTAACTATGGGTATTTCTGCATGCGACCTATGTGCGTATCTGACCAACACATTCGACCTTTTTTAGATTGTTTGCCCTTTCTTCTCATAAGGCTCAACCCCATGGAAACGGTTGGTTGTAGCATATAATAGATTTTCTATAAGTACGTTTACATTTATTTTGCTGAATATTTGTCAAAACAGATTATCACTATTGTATGTGTTGATCTGACGTCGAGTGTACCCGTTTAGAGCAAATTTTACTTTTTATCCCGGTAAAATCTAACTAACGAATAATATATGATGTGTGCGTTCTAGAATTTAGTCCGTGAAATGACAAATTCTATGGCACCGATTGTTCGACATTTATAAGTCGTGTTTTATGGCGCCGTTGAGTGAGTTACGACAATTTACATCTGTCGCTTTATTTTAAGTGCACTTAGGATATTTATGTTCCTCAAATGTTGCAGATTTTATGACTTTAACTATATAAACAAAAACCGTGTCTCGGAGAGCAAGTTAAGCCGTCGTTTTCGGTTGCCATACGAGTATCTGTGACAATCGCCTGTTGGGCGCCCTAAAAAGTCGATATCACCTAGTACTTGGAATCAGACTCAGAATCATTTATTTGTAAACATAGGTCAAATAACAACAGAGTGTGATATGTTACAGATAAATAGATCCTGTATGTTTTGCCCAGAGTTGTACAAATATATTTATGTAATTAACATTGTCAATTCTTTTTCCTACTTTTAACACCCATTTTACTTTTTAAAATATTATAAATTTGTAGAATTATTTAAACTTCCACATTATTAATAACGTCAACAATAATAATTAATAATCACATGCATGTCAAAATAAATACAAAATACAATCAATTTTAATAAATGACAAATGGATGTAAATTCAAAATCATTAAGATAGGTGAGGTAACAGGTAGGAAACAAACTGTAGAACTAGAATTCTTCAACAAAAACACACACGAGATACAAAAAATCCGTTCAAACAGGAAAGATATAAAAGCCTCTATTCCTCAAGGTAGCGTAATTGGGTGCCTATTATTTATAATTTATGTAAACGATCTACCCAAAACAATAAACGGACCATGTGTCTTATTTGCGGACGACATCTCTTTGCTCACTTCGTGTACAACTAATGTGGATGTTTGTGAAAATCTTCACCAAACACTCACAAAAACAGTGGACTGGATGAACAAACACAATCTGGAAATAAATTTCTCAAAAACTAAATTGATAACTTTCCATCCACACCAAAAATCACCAATAGACATCAATTTTACATTTAATGGATCAAAGATAGAAGTTGTTAATGAGTTTAACTTACTCGGGGTAACCATAGACACGCATATCAACTGGAGGGCGCACGTAAAAAAGGTGAGCGCAAAAATATCAAGTTTTACATACGCCCTACGCGAAGTCAAAAAAGTCACAGATCTACCTACTGCACTTGTCACTTATTACGCCTACGCACATTCTTGGCTCAACTATGGCGTAATTTTGTGGGGCAATAGTACGGACGTCCCCGCTGTTTTTACTAAGCAAAAGGCATTGATTAGAGTCTTGGTCAATATAAAAAATACTGACACATGTAAACCACACTTTCAAGAACTCAAAATCCTAACATTACCATGCATCTACATCTTGGAATTATGTAAACTTGTTCGTAAATATCCGGAACACTACACCAAGCGCGAAGATATCCAATCCAAAATGACCCTAAGACACAAAAGTAGATTAAATCTGCCTACTTCAAGATTAGCAATTCACTCCTCTGGACCATTGGTCATGTCAGTAAAAGTATATAATAGGCTACCAAACGAAATCAAAAACGAAAATAAATACAATACATTTGTTAACAAATTAAAAAAACTCCTGATAAATAAATGCTACTACAGTGTCAAGGAATACTTAGAAGATAAATTATAAACTTTAAATAACTAAAATTAATCATTATAAACAGTATAGACATAAAATCTAATAAATTTACATTTAATAAATATTAATATATAATGAATGACTATGCAATAAATTGATATACAATGAATGGTAAAATAATTTTGTACTGACATTGTTCATTAATAAATTTATTAAATTATCAACAACTACATCCTTTTATGAACATGCAAGTTAAATATAATATTTGGTTTAATTAGTTTATCTCGTTTAAAGCAGAAAATGTTGGTAATGAAATCAAGCTCTTCAAACTAGCATAATTAGGCAGCTCCTCCTCTCTCCTGATAGTGCTGTGCCCGACAGGGTCCATAATTGTTATCTACTTTTAAGCCTACCACCTGAATGTACATTATGGAATGCAATAAATTGAAATTGAAATTGAAATTGTATTGTACAATTTTCTGAAGCAGTAATTATAGATTAGTCGTCCAAATAATCCTTTAGTTAGTAATAGCATTTACTTATCACGATTGTTAATACCTATTTTTTTAAATTGACCAGATTTAGCGTTTTAATTTTTTCAGATACTTTGTTGAATATTTCGGTGGCCATACAGAAGGTACTTTTATTCATTAGTGCAGTTTTGCCATATGTCATCTCGTAGTTTTCTGTAGTAACTTTCAGTTACTATTTTGTATGATGACATGTTGGATTTCACGAACACATTTGTTTCGTATATCAACTAAGCAAGCGTCTAAAATATGATCGACAACTGTCGGTGCTTTTAAGACCACACATAGCTCTGACAAATCTTTTTTGGTTTCTAAATACGAGTTCTCTATTTACTAAATTGGCCCAGTATATTACGCCATATCTGAGTGTTGATGCATCATAACCGTGATAGGCTGTTAGTTAGTATGGATTCTAGGCTCATTATTTTTGATAGTTTATAGAGAACATAGGCAAACTTATCCACTTCGCCTGTCTGAGATTTCCAGGTAAAATTATTGTCTATATTAATACCAAGACATTTAGTAGCAGTATTTGATTCTATTTTCGTCCCCATGTCAAGGATTTTATTTGGCATCCTTTGATAAAAATGCATAATTTTTAGTCTTTTCTAAATTTATAATTAGATTATTGTTTGCAAACATTGGGTGCACGGGGTCCATCGGGGTCCCAGGGATTTCCTTCCTAGGTTACACCTGGTTCCCCGGCCACTAGTACTTTTGGTCGGTTTATGTCCTACATAACCACCGGTGGGTGGTATATAAGGGATTGCCGCATATTTTATTTTATAAAAAAGAGATAACTCAACGTCATTTGAAAGCTAAAGACTTGAACTTTAAGATACCTTGTGTAAGATACCTGTGGCAATATAAAATTTGAACGGTTACATAACCTTAAAAATGGGCAAAAATTGTGTTTTATGCCCGTTTTAGGTTAGAATATCTCAGAAAACAGAGGTGATAGAGAAATTTTAGGGCCAAATTGAGATTCAGCGAACCAAAATACTTCGGTACCAGTAGTTTCTGAGAAAGTTGCGATCATACAAAAACATACGGATCGAATAAATAACTTTCCTTTCTTTAATTCGGTTAAAAATATAAGGACTTACCACCATGCGGAGTGGTAGTACTCTTGGCGTTGTTGGCTTCCCTCGCCAAGAGTGGCGCGAGGCTGATAACAACCTTGCCAATTGCATCGTTGGCTGAATACGTGTCGTGGTCCATCAGACGGAGCTGTAGAGGTTCATCCTGGAGCTCAGATTCATCCACCTGGAAGTACAAGATTAAATGAAAGTTAAAAAGTTTAGTAGAAGTAATAATTAGTGCCTATTATAATTAGCCTGTTGCTGTAGTGGTTAGCGATTCTGATCTGTGTGCTAAGCCAAAAGTCGTTAAGACCTGAAGTCACATGGTCCCGGTCCTCCCCAGAATAGGGCTGTAGTCTGAAGCCAGCCATCGCAGTGGTTTTGACTAGAAACACCACACACTTTATCCCCAGTCTCCAAGTAGCCGAAGATCCGAAGGGATTTTCGACCCCGTCCACCAAAAAGCCAGGGGTCGTCGTTATCATAGTACAAACTAAGCCTTGTTTGAGGCGTGAGTGTATTTATGTATGTTATCTAAACTTATTATACCAAATGAGGCGTGGCAGCGATCAAGTCTACTACGAACATTGATTTACTATTAACACTAACGATTAGATAGGATACCGTGGACTAGTTTTACATCCAATGTAGAGGTGCTGGAGCGAGCCAAGTGCAGGAGAGAACTGATAGCTGTTATAGCGAAAAGGAAGGTAGCCTTCTTTGGACACCTTTGGACAAACGGGCCCGCAACATGAATTCCTGAGGCTTCTGTTAGAAGGAAAAATACCAGGCAGGAGGACACCAGGGCCTCAATTCTGCTATTACGCCAAGCCAGTGTCATACCACTGACACGCTATTGAGATGCCATCGAGTAGCCATTGGCATCGGTATAAATATCGGTAGTTGAAAATATATTACGTTTTTTTAAGGAAATTACTTAAGTATTTGTTTTTATTATAATAAATTATTAAAAGAAATAAATAAATTACCTCCAAACTTCATTTTGAGGATGGCACCCCATGATGATGATGATTAGATAGGATGAGTAGATAAGAAAGCTAGCATTGGGGGGATAACTTTTTTAAAATTGTTGCTGTACAATATAAAAATATACTTGTTTGTATTATCTTTGAACTAAAACGATTTCAGACTGAATCTGAATATACACGACCTTCATAACATTTTTAGAATTTTGACGTAGTTATTGTTTTGTGAACGTAAACACAAATTATATCACTAAAGTAATAAATCTATTTAATAAATTTGTTTTCACATTGTACATTGCGTTTTATATATTGCCACTACAAAAATTGGTTGCCTGTAAAGTCGGTATACGGGCGAAAGTTTTACGTGACAACGACTATGTCTGTCTCTCTCGCTCTTAGGCGGGCTAACCATGCCCGATTGGTAGGGACGCGTGCCTCTCACTCGCTCTCATTGTGAGCGCATAACGTGAGCGGAGCGTAACGCAGTTTCTTGAAGTGAAGTGTTTCAGAAGTCAAAACAAGTAACTAATTTAAAAAAATAAATGGGCGAACATTACAATCGACGCATATGATGTTTAACAACTGACATAGAACACCGCGTGCTTATTGGTTAAATCATATTATTTAATTTGACCAATGAGTGCGAGGAAACCCGGTAAAACGGGTGCTTGATACACATTTTCGTCCCTTTTGACGTAATCACTTCCAAGGATTGCAAGAAAGTAAGAGATGTTACGCATTTAAAAAAACAAAACTGCCATGTCACTCAACGAATTTACGCGCCAACAATTTGCACTTTGAAATAAAATTATAGCAAGTGTCAGTCAGGATAATGTATTGTTACAATCTTTGTAACGATACCATCAATCCAAATCTGTTTGGCATTTATGGTGAAATGAGGAAACTCAAATAGATACACACCCTAAAAATATAACACTTTGTTATTGGGCAGTCGTCATAAATTTCTTAAATGATGACACACGAAAATATTCTAACTGATTTTATTATATTTAATACTAACTTTTGCCCACAGCTCTTCCCGTTTTAATCTGCTATTTAAAGTTATCAAGGATGAGTTTTAGTGTTTTTAATTCAGTTATCCGTTGTCCGGCAAGACTTGATTGACAATAAAACTCTCATAGAATAAATTTAAGTTTAAAAAAAATAAAAACCCCGCTTTTGTAACAAGCCGAACTAAAAAGTAGAAAATAATTTTCTATAAGTTCAAAAAGAAAAATCATTTTATCGCAAAGATGCGTGAGGGGTGCATAATAATTTGTAAAAGTAAAATTATTATAAATTATCTTGAAAAGCACTCCACGCTTTTTCTGAATTTCAATTTAACTTGACGTTTTGAAGTGTGTCATAATCACGTTCGAAGATTCCGTTATACATACTATACATACATACGTACCAAGCTAATAAAAGCGTGTTAAAAATGCACGTTCTCTTTTCCCTATTTGTACTTTTTTTTATGGTTATCTTTCACAAATTATTTAACCATTACTAGCATTTTAACAAGATAAAAGTAAAACTGTTTCATCCGTTCTCAATTTAATTGTCATCATTGATTTACATACTAGTGGTGGCCTAGTGATCAAAATTCCGGCCCATAATATTAATTTAATTTTTAAGTTGCCACTATAAATAAGTATACCTCTATAATCAAAGGTTTCGTCAAATGTATTTCTAATGAATTTTATATAAAAATTGCTTTATACTTCTTCTGTATATAAACGTTAACTGTGTCAAATTTCGCACTCATTCGTGCGCGCAATGAGGGTTTTCTGAAATGTTCCACGTGAGATGGCAGCACTGTAGCGTCAGGTCCAACCACCTGTCAAAACACATACACGATTTGTATTTTTCGATCATTTTTTTGGTTTATTCATTCTTAAAAACGTTATAAAAGGAATATTGTTTTGTAAAATGCCACAGTGTTGTGCAGTGCCTATGTGTGCAAATAAAACTTTTGCGCCTCTCTTTTTGAGCTCAATCTTCAGTTCGGCAACCTTTCTCTGGCCGTAATCTATAATAAATTCAATAACACTTCCAAATTCATAGAATTTCACTAAAAAAATATACGTTCGGTAAGAATCTATGCTATCTGACAGCTGTTTGGACCTGACGCATACGAAGCGCCGTCTGGTGGCAGAAAAAATATCGAAAACCCTCATTTTCTTAAAAAGAGGTAAAAAGTTTTCGCTTCATGTGTACAGATAATTCATAAATTACTAAGTGTGAACATAGTGTAGAATCATTCCTCATTTGCAATTAAAACACATTATTGCTTGTTAGTTTGTAATCTATCAACGTCATGTCGTCTAATTATGAAGTGAAATTAAACTGGCTTTAGACGGAGCACTCCTTGCGCTCTGATGTAATGTTTATTTTGATTTTGTTACTAATCTAAAAAATATTAAAAATAGCTAAGTAATTATAATAATTATTCATAATGATTTTTTAGGTACTTCGTAACCCTATAAATGCAGAATGAAATACCGCTACGAGAGATAGATGCAACAGGGGCAGCGCACAATTTAACAGATGATACAACCGGACAGATTATGAATCTCACAGGTTTTTTTCACAATTGATATAGACAAATTATCCCTGCCCTACCAATATGTACTATAAATGCCAAAGTAACTCTGTATGCCTGTCTTTTACGCCAACAGGAGCTGAACCGCTGTACCGATTTTAATGAAATTTGGCATGGAGATACTTTGATTCTTGAGGAAAGACATAGGCCACTTTTTACCGCTATAACCGACATGCACGCGGGCGGACATAGAGTGTATGTCCGTCCGCTCTCTCATATACAGTTTTTAATATCGCTAGTATAATTTTAATCATGTTTAAAATCATACGGTGTTATTTACATGTATAGGAGTATATAGTACACAAATTCCCTGTGACAATACAGTGGGTACCATAATAATGGGTGTTTCATTTACGCCATTGGCGCCGGGTTAAATTCAAGTTTATTACCATCTGTGTCTATGGTCCCTCGTTACAATTACGAGGGCGATCCAATGAAGCATTGTCCAGCCCATTATGATCATTTCGGTTCTAATATCGATGCTCTTTATTGTTCTCTGTGAGTATGATTATGAGAAGGCGTAAGATGACCGTGATAGATTTGTAAAAATATTTTCCTCATCATGATTATCATGATATTCTTGCCCTTTCCCCAATGAGTTTTCTTCTTTGATTCTCTTCTATCACTCATCAGTCCACTGTCTACTCCCTTTCTAGCCATATCAGAGGATATGGCTAGAAAGGGAGTAGACAGTGCAGACATTTACGCATTCCATCCATCTTTGCTTTGGTCGTCCTCTACTCTTATATGCGTCAACTTCCATATACAAAATACACAGATATTTATACACTACTTTAAAAAAAGTCACATCAAACTCTTCTGTCTACTCATTTTCTAGCCATATCTAGACAGTGCAGACATTTATGCATTCCATCCATCTTTTCTTTGGTCGTCCTCTACTCTTATATGCGTCAACTTCCATATACAAAATACACAGATATTTATAAACTACTTTTAAAAAGTCATAATAAAAAATTTACAGGAATATGGACGCTTATAATAGACCGGATTTACGTACAACTACTTCAAGGTTTAATAACAGTAACCTTCGAAAAAATAGGGCAACGAAAATACTTGGCACAGACTTTTTAAACCTCTCATTGCAATGGTAAACAAGCACGGGAGATCCAAATATATTTATCCTTATTGTACACAAAACACATAAAGATTACTCGACACAAAGGTGAAATCCATTCCAGTTCTCTTCCAATAAACCATTTGAATGAAGAGAGAATACTGAAAAAACAACATATTGTAACAATTAACAAAGAATGCCAAACGAATTGAAATTTACCCAAACAACTAAATTATACAAGATCTGCATAGTAGATAAACTAATCTAGATTTCACCTCTTAAACTTTTCAGGTGGACTTATGGTGCACCAGGGACTTCCTTTCTAGGGTATACCTGGTTCCCCGGCTATTAGTACCCGAGACGGCGTGCGGTGGTATCCGAGGGGATTTCCGCACGGAAAAAAAAAAAAACGTGGACTTATGGACCGACATCAATTAAAATAAAATAATAACTACACATCTTATACACGACTGTCTGATCCCAAACATGAAGCTGAAGTTAGCCGACGGACATAGCCGACG